GGAGGCTGAGGCAGGAGAATCACTTGAACCCAGGAGGCGGAGGCTGCAGTGAGCCAAGATCGGGCCACTGCACTCCAGCCTGAGAGACAGAGCAAGACTCTGTCTCAAAAAAAAAAAAAAAAAATTGCTTGAGCCCAGGAGTTTGAGGCTGCAATGGGCTATGATCAGGCCCCTGTGCTCCAGCATGGGCAACAGAGTGAGATCTAGACTCGGAAAATAAAACAACAAAGAACCACCATGGCCGGGCACAGTGGCTCTCACCTGCAATCCCAACACTTTGGGAGGCAGAGGCAGGTGTATCACTTGAAGCTAGGAGTTCGAGACTAGCCTAGGCAACATGGCAAGACCCTGTCTCTAAAAACACAACAATTAGTTAGGCATGGTGGTACATGCCTTTAATGCCAGCTACCTGGGAGGCTGAGGCACAAGAATCACTTGAACCTGGGAGGCAGAGGTTGCAGTGAGCTGAGATTGTGCCATTGCACTCCAGTCTAGGCGACTCAGTGAGACTCTATCTCAAAAAAAAAAAAAAAGAATCACTGGTACCCACTGGCTCTGAATTCACCTTTTTTGCTGCACGAATGTGACAGGCAACCATCTAGTTCTGTTTTGGTTTTTTTTTTAATCATTTTTCTCCCATACTATTACTTGACTTCTCAGATGTTCATATCCTAGTTCTCCTATTAGATCACAAGCTCCCTGAGGGCAGGGGCCTAGCACAATGCCTGGTACGCAGGGACGGCACCACCTTTGGAATGTGAGAGCAGAGAGTGTTTTCAGGTGCCAGGCTGGGCAAGATCAGCGGTACAGGAGCTCACTGTGGTCTGACAGATGGAGAAGACAGTGAAGGGGCAATCACTCACGCAATCTGGAGCGCTCGGGTGCCCAGCACACGGGCTCGCTCGTACTTGGTCATATATGGTGTGGTGATTCGCTTCTGGTTGGCCTGCGGTCGCTCCCCAGAGGGGAGGATCTCGACATTCTCCTGGCCTTCCTGGACACCAAGACAAAAAAGAGGGAAAATCTCAGGTGGCATTTTTGGATTACAGGGAGGGTGATAATGACAACAATCACAATCCCTGCTACTGCCACCATTAATGCTTACTGCATACCAGGGTACTGCATGACTGCTTCCTAACGACTCATATAATCCTTACAATAACCTTATGAGACAGGGATTACAGTTCTCATTTCAGAGGCTTGGAAAGTCAGCTAACCTGACATAGCCTGAGACCTTGTAATGGAGGACCATGACTGAGATTCCAGAGCTGGCTGCCTCATCCAGAAGAGAGCAGAGGGCCTGGAGATGGGGTGGTCTCAGAACATTGGTCCTGTAAAAGAGGTCCTGGCACAAAAAAATTACCCTAAGCAGGAAGCTAGGAATAGTCTCCCCATCTTTCAGATAGGGGAGCTAAGCCAATGGGTCAAGTGACTAGAAAAGTCAAGGTGAAGACAGGAATATTTAACAATTACTTACTAAGCATTTGTCCTGAATCAGATATCGTTAACAGATACTGAGAAAGCAAGCTAGGAATTTCTGCTCTCAAAGAATTAATCGTCTAAAGGGGGAGACAAGAGTAAACAGAGCAGGTGCTATGAAGGGATGCAGTGTGCAACAGAGTTCCCAAGGAGGTGGGGACACCTCACACTGGGAGTTAGGAAAACTCCACGGATGAGATTTGAGCTCACCTAGAAGGATGAGCAGCAGCTGTCAAACCAACGAGGAAGGAGGCAACATGCAAAGGCACAGAGGAGAAAGAGGTTTGGACAGCTAGTTGTGGACAATAATTAGAATGAAAGGTGCGTAGAGGATTGTAGGCAGGAGAATAAATTCTGTGGTATATAAAGAATTAAGTAAACAGGCCGGGCACGGTGGCTCACGCCTGTAATCCCAGCACTTTGGGAGGCTGAGGTGGGCGGATCACAAGGTCAGGAGATTGAGACCACCCTGTCTCTACTAAAAATACAAAAAAAAAAAATTAGCCGGGTGTGGTGGCGGGCGCCTGTAGTCCCAGCTACTCAGGAGGCTGAGGCAGGAGAATGGCGTGAACCCAGAAGGCGGAGCTTGCAGTGAGCCCAGATCTCACCACTGCACTCCAGCCTGGGCGACAGAGCAAGACTCCGTCTCAAAAAAAAAAAAAAAAAAAAAAAGGTTGACTCTGAGCTGGACATGGTGGTGCAGAACCTGCAGTTCCAGCTACTTGAGAGGCTGAACTGGAAGGATCACTTGAGCCCAAGAGTTCAAGGCTGTAGTGCGCTATGACCTATGACCGCACCTGCAAATAGCCATTGTACTCTAGCCTAGACAACGTAGCAAGACACCACTTCTTAATTTAAAACAAGCAAACAAACAACAACAACAGAAAGAAAGGATCACTCTGGATACTCTGTTGAGAATATTCTGCAGGGGGCAGTGGCAGAAGTAGAGAGGCCATTTAGGAAAGCCAGTAGTAACTGAGCACGTGGGCAAGTAAGAGGGCGCTGAAAGGAGAAGAGCACTCAGAGCAGAGTCTGGAGTGAGACTGAAGCAGGAAAACCAGCCACACAATTCCTGCAGGAATGTGGCTGAAAAGCAATGAGATCTAAGCCAGCCTAAAGCACCAGGAGTAGAAAAATGCAGACAGGGCTGAAGTACATCCAGAAGGCACAATGTGCATGACAGTGATGGGAAGGCGACCAGAATGATGGAGAAGGACACATCTGACTCAAGCGAAAAGGTATCTGAAAGTGCCATGCAGAGAGAGAGGGGGCTCCATGTCTCTCCAGGACATAACTGCATTTTTTTCCCTCATCAGTCACACAGGACAGAAAGCCCTACTTTCCTCATGAGGCTAGCAACCTATCCACCTAGTTGCTCAAGCCAGAAACCTGAGAGTCGTCCTTGTCACCGCTCACTTTCTCAGCCCCATAACCAACCCACCGCAATAACTCTTTCATCTGTCTTCTCATTACCTGCACTACCAGCACCTATATCCAAGCCACAGGCCTCTCACCTTCCACTCTTGCCCTTCCCCAGTTCACTCCTTACTCAAGGCAGGATTGCACTTTCTAAAATGTAAACTGGACTGTGCCCTGGCTCAAAATTTGTCTGTAGCTTCTCATTGCCTTTAGGCTACAAAATACTGCCTCATCTGAGCCCTGCTTACCTCTTCCTTTTGCTCCCTAATTAGTCCCACCCTGCAGAAAGCACCTGGCACATAATAAACATTCAACACATGTTTGCCAAATGAAGGAAGGCACTGTTTAACTTGTCAGTGAACTAACTGCCCCAGAAGCCACAGGCTGTGGACCACATGGACAAAAGCTTTCAGGTCCACCCTGCAGGGCTGTTCTGCTATGCAAGACTGGAACACAGCTCACTCTAACTGGGAATGCTTATGGCAGGGGCCTTGACCACAAACAGAAGGCAGACACGTTCAGCTAATTATCACCTGCCAGACGATTTGGCAGCTTGGGCTGCAGAGGTGGGAGCCTGAGGCTGAATACTGACCTCTTCAGCATTCTCCAAGTCATCTAGCCCTTCATCCTCCTCCACATCATCAAAGTCGTCACCATCAAAACTGTACAGGAAGAAGAGATCAGTTACTTAGAGCATCACTTACAAGAATCAAAGAGGGGCCAGGTACGGTGACTCACACTGGTAATCCTGGTACTCTGGGAGACCGAAGTGTGTGGATCACTTGAGGCCAGGAATTCGAGACCAGCCTGGCCAACGTGGCAAAACCCCATCTCTACTAAAAATACAAAAATTAGCCAGGCATGGTGGCACATGTCTGTAATACCAGCTACTCGGGAGGTTGAGTCACAAGAATTGCTTGAACCCAGGAGGTGGAGATTGCAGTGAGCCAAGATAGCACTGCTGCACTCCAGCATGGGTGACAGAACAAGAACCTGTCTCAAAGTAAATAAAATAAGAAAAATAAAAAATAAAAATCAGAGGCCAGGCGTGGTGGCTCTGGGATTAAGCCTGTAATCCCAGCACTTTGGGAGACCAACGCGGGCAGAGTTCAAGGCCAGCCTGACCAACATAGTGAAACCCCGTTTCTACTAAAAATACAAAATTAGCTGGGAGTGGTGGCACACGCCTGTAATCCCAGTTACTTGGGAGGCTGAGGCAGGAGAATCACCTGAACCCAGGAGGCAGATGTTGTGGTGAGCTGAGATCACGCCATTGCACTCCAGCTTGGGCAACAAGAGCGAAACTCCATCTCAAAAAAAAACCCAAAACAACAAAACAAAACAAAAAAATCAAAGAGGGCAGAGATCTGTCTCTCTCCCAGTATGTAAGAAGCACTCAAATATTTACTTGATAAGTAAATCAGCCAGGCGCAGTGACTCACGTCTGTAATCCCAGCACTTTGGGAGGCCGAGGCGGGTGCATCACCTGAGGTCAGGAGTTCGAGACCAGCCTGGCCAACATGGAGAAATCCCATCTCTATTAAAAACACAAAAAAATTAGCCGGGCGTGGTGGCAGGCGCCTGTAATCCCAGCTACTCAGGAGGCTGAGGCAAGAGAATTGCTTGAACCCGAAAGGCGGAGGTTGCAGTGAGCCAAGGTCACCCCACTGCACT